TCTCATCATTTTCTCTTTCTTTTCTTTTTTCAACTCTTCTTTCTTTTTTTTTTTAAATTCTTTTCTTTTCTTTTCTTTGTTTTTTTCAACTTTTCTTTTCTTTTTGGTCTTCATACGTTGCATCCTTCCTCACAAACTTTTTGCAAATATTTTATTTCATGAACAACTTTCAAAATCTCACTTGAACCAATATTCACAACTTTCTTGCCCTAAAACCAACACTCTCAAATTCGAACCTCAAAAGCCAATGCTTCACTAACTACAAGGGTTGGTAGAACATAGGCCGATAGGTTTGTAATATGGCTAGATCAAGAAAGGGGAATGAGGCCCAAATTGGTTAGCAAGTAGGTGGATGTAAAAACGAAAACTAAATTTGTAACAAAACACAAAGAAAACAAAGAAAAATGAGAAGAAATGCCCTCTTCCTCCTTTAAAGTTGTTTGGTCACGATCTCGGGAGCTAAATACCAACACAAAGATTAAGACATGCATAGTTAAGGATCCAAAGCGCCGCTCACAAGAATGATGAAGGCTAGAACAAATGACGCTCACACGGGATAAAAATAAGCAAATACCAACCAAGGGAATCCTATTCACTACGGAGAGCAACACCATCTTACCACTTTCCCGTGAACTAGGGGGTTCAAACGTCATCAAAAGTCCTAAACCGGGCTACCTAATCTTATAATGTGTTTAATTCAACCTTAAGAATTCTTAAACCGTGTAAAGCCTCATCAACTAGGAAGGTAAGCATTCAAAGTCATGTCATAAAAAAGGCACACAAATTCTCGAATCCAAATGAATGAGCAAATCCACATCAAAAATATTTCAACTTGCCATAGTTATGTTTGTTACACAAAAGAGAACAAGAAAAACACACAAAAAGGAGGAAGAAATTAAAAAGGTTCATAATCGAGGAAAGCAAATCAAATAAATCCCAATCGACATACAAGTAATTGTAGATATCAACATCAACGATCCCAGGTTCCTTGGAACCAAAATCAATCTCACCTCGAACCATTCAACTCTTCCTAAACTAGACCTAAACTAAGCACTCAAAGAAAAAAGAAAAAGAAAGAGAGGAAAGGTCTCACCGAATGCCGCTTGAAATATAAGACAAGGTAATATATCCAATCTCACCAAGGGAGCTAGCGTTGCTCCTTAACGTCCTTCATCTCCGCTTCAAGCTTCAATAAAGGTGAGCCAAATAAAAGAAACTACAACAAAACAAGAAAAGGTTAGAAAACAAAGAAAAAGACTAAAGAAATAAACAAAAACAAGAAAAAATAAATAAAAATCTATCTACAAAGTTTGGATTAAGGGGATTTGGATTTTCGAGAATTTTGGATTTTTCTCTCGGGAGCATCTCCACCTACAAAAACTCAGGAATCATCTAAGAAAATCATCTTAAATCAGCAAAAATAATCATAAAACATCATCATCATCACCATCACATTACCACATCAATATCTTCACAACATCACCATCTCATCACATCACCATCACAAATCACCAACATCATCACCACCATCACAACGCCACATCAATACCACAAGGCCACTATCCTCACTATCCTCCTTATGTGCAAGCAACTACCCTACCACTCTACGTTCCTATGTACACTTAAACCAACCAAAAGGACATCCTCCCCACACTATTCTTTTGCTCGTCCCAAGCAAAAATTACAAGCGAGAAGATCGGGGGGAGGGAAAAGGACCCTCATCACTGGTTATCATCTCCTCGCCCCCTAGGTTGAGGGGGGTTATAAGGATCAAACCCGGGAGCATCCATGAAAGGGTGGAAGGGTTTGTTAAAGTGCTCATAGGGCCACCCTTGGGCACCCCAACCACCATCAAAAGGAGACGGGGTGGATGTGGATGCCGGGTCATAAGCCGGATCACACCCACCCGGACGATAGGGGTCGTATGGTAGGGTCGATGGTACCTTCCCAATAGGCGTAGCAAGGGGGGGTGGGTTTTGAGGGTCATAGGGTCCCCAATGATTGATCTAACCCTCTTGAGGAGGGTGGTAAGGGTAGTTCACATAGGGCGCTTAAATGCCCGCTTGCACAAGATTGTCATAATTTGCCCTCGCATAGTACCCCCATTGTTCAATGGAAGCTTGATTGTCTCGACGGATATCATCGAGGGTACTACGAAGGGCATTTAAATCAAAAGGAGGAATGGAAGGAGAAGAAGATGCCTCACCTCCCCCGCTAAGGGGGGGAATGATTTGCTCCTGATGGAGGACCGGCGGAGGTTGAGGGACTCCACCCCGGGCTCTAGTTCGTCTCAGCTCATTGGGGATCTTTTGCTGAGGGATCTTCCATTTGAGAGGAGCGGAGTGGTCCACCGTAGTGAGGTCGGGGTCCGGAAGGACACACCATTCGATCTCCCTATCGACCAAGAGGATGAATCGACGCTTGCTAGTGGTGTAGTTGAGGAAGCGGTTGTGACGGAGGGCGCTTATGGAAAGAGCATAGGGAGGGAACTCATCGGTGAGCTCTTCTCGGGTTTGGTGCAAGGGTGGGAGCAATTCAATTTGATCTTTATATGCTCCATTCTTCAAAGAAAGAGCAATGATAGTAATCATGCCACCCATGAAGATTTCATCCACGAGACAGTTGTCCCTAGTATCCAAGAGCCATTGGATGAATGTTGAAGAGCATTGAAATTTGAGCCGTTGAGGGTTATCGGCCAAGGATAGGCAAGCAACCTCATCTTTTACCATGGAGTCGAGGTTTTCTTTGAAGAACACGACATATTGGAGAAGCCGTACAAAATACCTCAAGGCTATATGAATGATATTGTTGACCTTTGAGGTATTAGTTTGAAACCTATCCTTGTTGGTGATACTCCTCCACCACTCTTGCTCGTTGTAAGGTATGCGATGAGAGGAGGTCAATTTGGACGGGTGATCAAGTCTAGTCGCATGCAAAAAGAAGATCTCATTTAGATCACTTTCCGTTAAGGAGTGATCCTCGTTGAACATTCTAAAGTGAATCATAAGTTGAGGATCCTCATCGACATCTTCCGGCTCAAAAAGTTCCTTGCGAAGAGAGGCAAGGAATTCTAAAGTCACACGCTCGTAAGTGTAAGCGTGGAGGTGAATGAAGTAACCCCATCCAAAGTTTTTGGCCAACCGGACCACCTTATCCAATATTCCCAGCTTCCTCAAAGTTTGGGGGCAAAAGAATCTTGTAGACCGGATCGAACGCTTGATGAGTGACTCATAGATGGGCTAAAATTGCTCGTCCGAAGCAATAATGCCATGATCATTGATGCCAGGAGGAGGTGGGAATTGTGGTCCTGAAGATTCTCCCACTCTCTTCCTCTTTGACTTTCCTTTTCCCTTGCCAAACATTTTGATTCTACAAATTCACCAAGAGCATATCATTTGAACAAATTGATAAAAGATGACATAAGAAGGCAAGTAGCTAGCCAAGGTAAAAGTGGATGCATGAGAGTATACAATTCAAGGCATGCATGAATACATTTGAACCAAGGCTTGGATAAGAATTCCTATGTCATTCCTATATGAGTCCTAACAAATTCTAGGTGAAATTTGGCATGATGTCCCCTAATTTTCATGATATCCGTTCATCAAACCATCAAAAACAAACCAAAACAATGAATAACAATCTCCAACAACATCCAACTCATGCATTTCTCAATCATAAAATGGTAACATGAACACCCTAGTATGAAATCAACATTCTTAAGCAATGACATTGAGATCAAATTAAAACCAAGGCAAACATGCATAATCATCATAACAACATGTTCTACTATCAACAACCAATCAATTGCAACAAGTCAATCCAAAGAACTACATGAATCAAACAAGTTATTACTAACAATTTCAAAAATACCACAATTCATACTTAACTATGTAAAACATGGTAAAACTATGAGAAATTGAATAAATAAACTTTAAAAAGCTAGGAAAATCATACCACAATTGATTGGAAGCAAGTAAGAACCCAAAAACACCAAAGCACTCAAACCCTTGAAATTGGGGAAAATGAAAAGATGGGTTCTTTTGTGAGGAATTTTTGGTGGAGATTGTAGAAATTGAGTAAAGGATGGAAAATAAGTGAGAAAGGGTGAAGATTGGAGTGATTTTGATGGAGATTTGAGGTTATAAGGGGAGGTGTAATGGAGGTTTACAGTGAGAAGGAGGAGAAAGGGGGTAGGTGACGAAATGGGAATGAAGGGTCACGAATTTCAGCAACATAAAACTTATGGCAACAACATTTTTTTTCAAATCTGAAGAATGGATCGGTCGAACCACAGTGAAAGTTCGGTCGAACTCACCTTTGGTTCGGTCGAACCATGGCCAAAATTCATTTTTCTAAATCCAGGCAGAAAGTTCCAGCAAATATGCGAAAATAGAGGAGTGACCGAACCTGGAGAGAGTTCGGTCGAACTACAGAGCATGTTCGATCGAACCTCCCATGGGTTCGGTCGAACCTATGCTGAAACTTCATTTTTGCAAATTTTGGCAGAATGTTGCGGAAATTTTCCAAAAATTGAGGAGTGACCAAACCCAGGACAGTTCGGCCAAACTACAGTACAAGTTCGGTCGAACCATCATTAGGTTCGGTCGAACCTTCTGCCAGAATGCAAAATTTTTGTTCTTGGCAGAATGTTGCCATAAATCCTTGAAAATGTTGCAGTGGCCGAACATAAAGTGGTTCGGCCAAACTCCCATAAAGAATCGCACAAGTAAAAATAGACCTTAACACACATCTAAACACCATACAATCATGCTAGATGCAGAGCATATCAAAAATCTCAACACAATAAAAACTCATAAATCCCAATAATCCAAAGTTGTAGATGGAAAAATAGAAGTATCATGAAAAGAAGAAAGTAGAAAAGGGTTAGAAACTCGGGTTGCCTCCTAGATGCGCTTTTAGTTAACGTCGTTAGCTCGACGTTCCTTGAGTTGATTAAGGAGGGTCAAATTGACGATGCACATCAAGAAGTGTCACAGAAATCAGTTCATCACTTGGGAATCCTTCATAATAGGGCTTGAGACGGTGACCGTTGACCTTAGTTTGCCCGGGAAAAGCTTCAAGCGGGAGTTGAATAGGAGGACTTTTTGGCCTTTGACGAATTCCTTGTTGACAATTTGAGCATCGTGCCAAGCCTTAGTCCGCGCCTTATACATGCTTGCGCTATCGTAGGCATTCATCCTCAACCCCTCTAACTCATGTAGCTCTAGAAGCCTTTGCTCACCTGCACTATGGAGATCAAAGTTGATTTTCTTGATTGCCCAATGCGTTCGATGCTTCATCTCTACGGGCAAATGAAATTTTTTTTCATAGACAAGTTTGTAGGGAGTGGTCCCTATTGGAGTTTTGAAGGCGGTCCTATACGCCCATAGTGAATCAATGAGTTTGGAGGACCAATCCTTCCTAGTCCTAGCAACCGTCTTCTCCAAAATCACCTTGAGCTCTCTATTGGTGACCTCCGCCTGACCACTCGTTTGAGGGTGGTAAGCAAGCCCTCGCTTGTGAGACACCCCATATTTATCAAGTAGTCGAACGAAGGTATGGTGCTTAAAGTGCGATCCCCCGTCACTAATTATTGCTTTTGGAACACCAAATCTTGGAAAGATCACTTTCTTGAAAAGATTGACCACCACCTTAGAGTCATTCGTTGGAGAAGCTACGGCCTCCGCCCACTTGGATACGTAGTCAACGGCAACCAAAATATACTTGTTCCCATGTGAAGAAATGAAAGGGCCCATGAAGTCTATAGCCCACACATCAAAAACTTCAAGCTCAAGGATGGGGTTTTGCGGCATTTCATCCCTTCAAGAAATATTCCCCATCCGTTGGCATCTATCACAAGTCTTGACAAATATCCAAGCATCCTTGAATAGAGAAGGCCAAAAGAGCATAGATTGAAAGACCTTTCAGGCGGTCTTTTGAGCACTCATATGCCCACCGCAAGGAGAAGAGTGGCACATATGGAGAACACTTTTAAACCTCGTCGTTGGGGACGCATCTCCTCAACAAACCATCGACCCCTCTCTTCAACAAAATCGGATCATCCCAAATATATCTCTTTGCCTCATGCTTGAGCTTTCGACGTTGTTGCGAAGTGAAATCCGGTGGTATAGCACTACAAGCTAAGTAATTCACAATATCCGCATACCACGGCTCCGATTTCACTTCAAGGACATATAGCACATCATCTCTTAGAGCGTCCTCTATTGGCAAGCCATCATCTTCAAACCTTGCACCACCCAACCTTGAAAGGTGATCCACCACCACATTCTCGGCTCCCTTCTTGTCTCTCATCTCATAATCAAAGTCTTGGAGAACTAAAACCCATCTCAACAACCTCGGTTTAGCCTCCTTCTTTTCAATCAAATATTTGAGAGTCGAGCGGTCGGTATACACAATTGTCCTAGAACCAATGAGGTAGGTTCTAAACTTCTCAAATGAGTGAATAACCGCTAGAAACTCCTTCTCGGTAGTTGTATAATTTCGTTGGGCACCATTGAGAGTTTTAGACAAATAATGTATAACATGAAGTTTTCCATCCTTTCGTTGCCCAAGAACCGAACCAATAGCCTCGTTGCTTGCATCGCACATGAGCTCAAATGGAAGAGACCAATCCGGACCTTGGACGATAGGGGCGGTGCAAAGGGCTTCTTTCAACCTACAAAAAGACTCTTCACAAGCATCATCAAAGATAAACTCTTTATCTTGTTGCAATAGGGATGTGAGGGGCTTTGCAATCAATGAATTTTTTTTTATAAAACGCCGATAGAACCCGGCATGGCCAAGAAAAGACCTCACTTCCCTCACGTTGGTGGGGGAGGAATTTTTTCGATGACCTCAACCTTGGCTCTATCAACCTCAATGTCGGCATGGGAAATTTTGTGCCCAAGAAAAATCCCACTTTCAACCATAAAGTGGCACTTTTCCCAATTCAACACGAGGTTAGCCCTCTCACACCTTTCTAAACAACGAGATAAAATAGATAGACAAATCTTCATAGGTGGCTCCTCCAACGGAGAAGTCATCCATGAAGACTTCTATCTCATCCTCAGTCATATCACTAAAAATAGACATCATGCAACGTTGGAATGTTGCAGGAGCATTACAAATCCCGAAAGGCATCCTACGATACGCATAAGTACCGTAGGGGCATGTGAAAGTCGTCTTCTCTTGATCCTTGGGGTCAATCGGGATTGGGAAAAATCCCGAGTCACCATCAAGGAAACAATAGAAGGAATGCTTTGTAAGCCTTTATAACATTTGATCAATGAACGGTAGTGGAAAATGATCTTTTCATGTACTTGTGTTAAGTTCGCGATAGTCAATACACATGCGCCAACCGGTAACAAGTCTAGTGGGTACTAGTTGATCATGATCATTTTTCACTACCGTCATGCCCCCTTTCTTAGGCACAACTTGCACGGGAGATACCCAATCACTATGACCAATTGGGTAAATAATTCCCGTATCAAGAAGCTTAGCCACTTCCTTCCGCACAACCTCTTGCATGGAAGGGTTAAGCTTTCTTTGCCTTTGCCTAACGGGTTTGGCATCTCCCTCAAGATCAATTTTGTGCATACATAAAGATGGACTAATACCTTTGATATCATCAATGGTATAACCCAAAGCTTTCTTGTGTTTTCTCAAAACATTGATTAAGAGGGAGGTTTGCTCCTCCGTTAGGTTTGAATTTACAATCACGGGGAAAGACTCATCGGGATCAAGAAATGCATACCTCAAGCCCAAAGGTAGAGGTTTCAAGTCTACCTTTGGTGCTCCCTTACCATTGGGGCTCTCTTCTCTTTCTTCAACTTGAAAGAGGTCATGAATGTAAGGAGCCTCTTCTTCCATGCTCACGCCCTTGCACTCCTTGCTTTCCTCAAGAAAATCCTCATAGAATTGTATGTCTTCTTTGTGAGTACCTATCTTTGATTCATTCAACAACACACTTTCAAGAGGATTATTAGTAGCATGCAAGTGGGAGTGAGAAAATTCATTAAGAACGGTATCAAGAACATCTACCCTAATGCATTCACTATTTGAGGGGGGTTGTTGCATGACATTATTCAAATCAAACTCAATAGAATCGTTGTCAATCTTCAAGAATATCTTCCCCTCCTTTACATCGATGATAGCTCTAGAAGTAGCTAGAAATGGCCTACCCAAAATTATAGGAATCCTCTCATCCTCATCCATTTCTAGCACATAGAAATCCACGGGGAATGTGAACTTTCCTACCCTAAGGGGAATGTCCTCAACTTTGCCCATGGGGAACTTAACGGAACGGTCCGCTAGTTGGAGAGTAATGTTAGTGGGGGAGAGGGTTCCTACAATAAGCTTTTGGTAGATGGAATAGGGCATGTGACTCACACTTGCTCCTAAATCACACAAGGCTTTATCAAATTCAATGCCATTGATAGAACAAGGGATGGAAAAGTTACCCGGATCTTTCAATTTGGTAGGAAGTTTGTTGGAAAGAATTGCACTACAATTGGCGGTCAAACTCACCGTCTCATACTCCCTTCTCCCACTCAAAAGGTCTTTCAAAAATTTGGAATAGTAGGGCATTTTCTTCATAGCATTAACAAAAGGGACGAAAATATGCAAATTCTTAATGACTTCCAAAAACTTCCCGAATTGGGCATCAAGTTTAGATCTCACAAATCTTTGTGGAAAGGGTAGCTTCTCCTCTCTAGGTTGGCTATTTAGGGGCAAGGGGGTGGCTTCTTTTTCCTTGGGCACCTCAACAATTTTTTCCTTTTCAACACTCAATGGCTCATTGGGTTTTTCACCCTCATTCTCTAACTCCACCTCTTCTTGGGGTTCTTCCTCAATTAAAGGGTCACTCCCTACTACCTTCGCACTCCTAGTTGTCACGGCATACAAAGGTTTTGGGTTAACTCCTTGACTTGGGATGTGAGAAGAAGAAGAAGAAGAAGAAGAAGAAGAAGAAGAAGGGGACGAATTAGATGCAAGTTGAGCAATTTGGGTCTCAAGCATTTTCATATGAGAATTGGTTTGTTTTTGGGCCTCTTCATGTTTCTTTTGATCCTCTTCACGCATTTTCAAAAGAGCATCTAATTTAGCCATCACGGGATCAATTGGAGGGGCTTCAAGTTGAAGAGGTTGTTGAGGTGGAAGAAGTTGGGGTTGATAGAAACCCGGAGGCCTATTAGTTTGGGCATAGTTAGAAACAAATTGGCGTCTATTGCCTACGGTGCCTTGGTTAGGAACATTGCTTTGTTGATTATTTCCCATGTTACCTTGGTCACCAAAATTTTAATTTTGATGGTCATGGTATCGGGAATTAGGTTGTTGGTTTTGAATACCATACCCCCTTTGGTTAGGGTAGCCTCTTCCATTGAAATTGGAAGGGCCTCCCCCACCATGGTATTGGTTATCATAACCACCACCACTTTGGTTCCAACCACGGTTTCCACCTTGATTCCAATTCCCCATTTGATTGGAGTTTAGCCTCAAGTTTCCTACATTTCCCATTCTAAGAGCAAAATTCATAGCATTGACATTTTCCATATTATCATCATGTTCATGGGAAGGGGGTTGAACTTCACAAGCATATACACAATGAGAGGTATCATGATCATAAGTTTCACAATTAGAGCAAAACATGCATCCTTGGGGCATTGTATTGTAAGAAGAGGAGGAGGAAGTATCCATACCATTGCCTCCCTTGGTTGAAGGGGAGATATTACCATGAGGGTTGGACCTTTCTTTCATCAATTCATCCATTTGCTTGGTCATTTTGGTTATTTGGGTAGAAAGGTTGTTGATTGCGTTGGCTTGCTCCAATGCATAAACACCTTTACTAGAAGTAGCATACCTTTCTCCTTCGTACCAATCATCATAGTGCTTTGCGGCCTCCTCTATAATACACTCCACTTCATGCTCTCCTTTGTTCATGATTGGACCACCGGCCGCGGCGTCTAGGCTTGTTCTACCTTGAGGTGTGAGACCTCCATAGAAAGTGTGAATGAGTTGATACTTGGGTATCCCATGGTGTGGGCATTGACGTTGAAGCTCTTTGTATCGTTCCCATGCCGCACTTAGAGACTCACCACTCTTTTGGCGAAAACCTTGAATCAAAGACCGTGCCTCGGCGGTCTTCCTATGGTTATAAAACCTCCTCAAGAAAGCCGTAGTCATTTGGTCCCATGTTGTGAGAGAATTAGGGGGCACCTCCTTCTCTAGCCATTCTAGGCCTCTCCCAATTAGCGAAAATGGAAACATTTTGAGGCGAATATATTCTTGAGTCACTTCATTGGCCTTTATTGTGTCACAATATTTCTCAAACTCTTTTAAGTGCTCATGAGGACTCTCAAACTTTCCCCCCGAGAATTGTTTCCTCTCAATCAAGGCAATCAAATTAGGCTTGATCTCGAAATTGTTGGCTTGAGTAGTAGGAGTTAGGATCCCACTTTACGCTCTAAAAGCTTCGGGGGCCCCAAGACGACTCAAAGGCGTATTCTCTCCCATTTTAGAACCTTCTTTACTCTCAAACTTATAGATTGAGAAAGGGTTGATTTTCAAACTCGAAGATGATTTAGGGCTATCTAATTCTTCACTTGAGGGTGAAGAGGGTGGAGTATCTTCTAATTCTCTTACTCCTCTCGTTGGAGTGTGGGAATTTCTACTCCTTGCTCTTGCTTCTCTTCGAAGTAGGGACAAAGACCTCTCTAGCTCTGGATCGATGGGAATCAAAGATCTTGAGCGGGTTCGTCCTCTGTTCATACAACAAAGCTAAGAAGAAAGTAAGCACTGACAAGTAACAAAAGTA